CACAGGATGAATGTTTTTATTCTGCATCACAAACAACACTAAAACAAACAAACAAAAAGCCACCTCGACAGCCAGGCTTACAAATATCTGCATTCCTGGTCCAGGTGCCTTACTTCAGATTTCTGTGTAGAAATTTCACCTTTAAAACTTGTCTTTCCTAATTAGATACATACAACAAAATGAATAATAGAAACAACCAGGCATAGATGTCATCCATTTCTGAGTTTCAAATCAATAAATATTGTGCAGTCACCCACCCATCTGGCCATAAAAGAGATGGCACTAGAATGAAGATGTAGGTAAGAATGCAAGTATTCGCAATGCCCTCCAGCACTTATTGTACCATATAAAACTGAATTTACCATGAGAATGAGCCTTGTTATTATTTTAAAATTTTTAATTGGAGACACTTTGAAGGCCTAGCTTTTCCTAGTTTTAGCCCATATACTTGAAAACTGTTTGCCTTTACTTATATCTTCTGCCTTTCTTCCCCCAAATGTAAATCTCTTCCAAATCTTAGTTATATCTTCTATCACAAAATGCTTTAGATCTGTGGCAGCTAAAATTTACCCACCCGGATTAGCACAGGAAGAAAGAGGCACCTTGTTCTGGTCTATACTGTTCCCCACTGTCCGCCAGTCTGAACAGACAGCAAACCAAAAGTGTATCTCATTTCATCCTACTTTGCCCTCTTTGGTGTTCAGATTGACCCAACAGCTGTCAGATCTTCGTTGCACATTGTTCTCTGTCGATGGCCTTTTTGATATGTCTTAGCCAAAGAATTACAAAGGAAAATGAAGAAACCAGACAATGGTACATTAAATACAAGTCATGCGAGTCTTGTCCTATCTTCCAAAAAGCCCAAGCTTTCCTTTTGTTGATACCAGCCTTTTTTGTGGGAAAAAAAAATCACGATCTGCAATCCATGATTTGGAATATGTTGTCAAGCTAGCAGAATCTTTGGATCTTCAGTGAGACCACATCCACATCAATTTCAAGTTTCCAATTTTTCCAATTTTACAACTGTACTTTAATGTTTAATGCATCAACGTAAATTCCGTTTTGACTCATTAAGAGCTGCTGCTTAGTTCCATTTTATTCTCTATATTTTATTTTTATTTTAGAGACTGGATCTCACTACATAGTCTAAGTTGGCCTTGAACCCTGTTGCCTGGTTCTAATACTCTGAAACATTCTGGTTTCAATTCCATCCTCTTTAAGACTCACATTACAATCTATGCTGATCTTTCATAATTTTTAAATTGTTTGGATCTTGAGGGGCAGTGTTATTTCTGATTCAGCACTACTCACAATGGCCTTGTGCTCAAATAAGTGTAATTTCTATTTAATTCCCTACATATTTTTTAGGTAATGTCTTGAAGAATCTTTCCCAAAGTAAATATATACATACAAATACACAGAATGATGCACATATACCACCTGCAAAAGAAAAAATTGATTATAGACTTACTACTTGTCTTTTCTTTAGGAATTTTAACAAAGGGCAAAGATATATGTTCTACAGAAAAACCAGCATATCTGAGTCATAATTTCCTCATTTATAAATGAAGTGATTGATATGATTTTTCTATTATCTTTTCTCTCTAAATGAAACTCCATATCTCAGTTTGGGCTCCCAGGGAGCAGATTCTGAGGAGATGATAGTGAGTGGCCAGTTTACTAGGGGATGCTCTGGGAATCACTGTCTCTGACAGGAATGGAGAGAGATTTAGGCAGAGGAAGCACTGGGCTGGAAGGGCAGTGACAAAATTCTTGCAGACATAGACAAGACTGAAGCCGACAAACTCTCCTGAACTGTCTCAGACTGGAAGCATAGAGGCAGACTTTGAACTGCACGCAGTCCCTGCCCCTCCTCCACAGAAAGGGAGCGTTAGCCAGGCCTGATGGGGAATACTTGCAATCCCAGCAATGGAGAGGCTGAAGCAAGAGCATCGCCGTGAGTTTAAGGCCACCCTGGTCTACTCTGAGTTCAAGGCCAGCATGAAACTACACAGTGAGAACCTGTCTCAAAAAAATAAAAACAAGAAGAAAAAAAAAAAGAAGCCATGCGTGGTGGCACACGCTTATAATCCCAACCCTCTGGAGACTGAGGCAGGAGGATCGCTGTGAGTTTGAAACCAGCCTGGGCTACATTGCAAGTTCCAGGTCAGTCTCAACTACATAGTGAGACCCTGTCTTAAAAAAAAAAAGCCTTTGGTAGAGGGTCTAAGGCCAGTGAAGGCGAAACTTTAAAACAGCTGGCTGAGGCATGCATGCCCTAGGTTCGCCACCACTGGTCTAGGCGGTAATTAAACAGAGATATGATGTGGACCATCACCCTGAATCCTTTAGGTCTTGCAGAACAGCCTTCATGACTGCCCTTCCCTGGGCTGCAATATTACTGTTACGTAACTCCTAGGGAGGAGTAAGTTTCTAAAATCCCCATTTGGGTTTTATCACAATATCTCTTACCTCACAGACTGTCAACCGATGTGTGGGCTGTGCAACAACCAAGTGCATTTACTGAAATTATACACTCCAGGAAGAAGTGGACCTGGGGTACATCGTGAGCTGGTCTTGGGCCAGGACACCCACATATTACTTGGTCTCCAAAGCCCTTATTCTACTGATTACTAATGCAAACCCTGTGTAAAAGGATGTAAAACTCAAAAGGATTCCCCTTCCACCTATCCATGGTTACTTGATGTCTTAGTTACTTGTCTCCTCACTGAGACACCCACAATTTAAAGGAAAGGTTTATTTTTAGCTCATGTTTCAGTCCGTGGTGTGCTGGCTCGAAGGCAGGATGGCATGGCACAGGGGTGTGGTGGGGGAAGAGCTGCTCACTGCATGGTGACCAGGAGGCGGAGAGTAAAGGGAGGTCCTGGGGAGAGAAGCTCTTTCAGGCCACGCCCTCAGGGACTCACCTCTTCCTACCAGGCCCCACCTAACAGTAATTCAGCAATAAGCCCAGTAATCCAATCACCTTGGAAAGCCCCGTCTATGAGCGTGAGGCCCCAGGGGTACGTCTTAATATAAACTATACCACCTGTGTAATGGCTACAGGTCCCTTCGGAGAACTGGTGAGCTGTTATTGTACACACTGTGGTACTATGAGATCCTTCTGCCTGGGAACCTAGATGCTTTTTTAGTTAATGGGTCTGAGTCTAACAACTAGCTTGTCCGGAAATTGGCAAGGGATCATGATCATTTTGTGGGGTGATCATCCTTGGCCTCCTGATCGTCTCTTGATTTCTTTCAAGTGTACAGGTTAAGCAGTACCCTGGCCGACCGACTCCTTATTTTGCCATATTCAGTTGACTATTTCCATATCTTTAAGAACAAGATGCCAGACTTTCTACTTATCATAGTTGCATCCACTTGGCTTCTGACAAATCCCAATGCCAAGTATTCTGTTGTTTTGGGATCCCATCATGAGCATTGCCATCTGTCTGTAATGGCATCTCCTTCCTTCATTCCTGGCCTACAAAGAAGCACCACTGAACTCAGCAATTCCTGAGACTCACGAGCATGTTACATGTAGCTTGGGAAAATGGATTACTGTCCCTGTATGCTAGGGGTCATGTGCTCTACCAAGAACCAGGGAGCAAAAGCCTTGTCCTATAAACTAGATGGCAAGAGAATAAAGTATAAAATCCCATAGGAGATCCCACTGGTACCAAGTATCACAGGTTGGGCTGCCCGGGAAGCTGACTCTGAGATGGAGTAGTGGAGAGTAGGGACTGCCACCTGGGGAAGAAAGGAAGTGCTTGGGCAGAGGGAGAATATGGCTATGATGTAGTCTCGGCCACAGCTAAATCACTGGGGAACTCTTAAGCTGGGATGGGCTTTCAGATCGTCCCCTATGTCACTGTCCTAGTCAATAACAAGTCATCACTGATGGCAAGATGCCCCAGAAGGAAAGTGAGACTTTGTGAGGGGGATCTGTCCAGTTAAGACGACTATGAATACGTCACAGTAGAAGTCTTTCTGCAGGCAGCGTTCCCAGGAACGAGGGAACTAGATCCCTAGCACCAAAGAGGAATCTAAGTAGCGTATCTCAGCCCTCTCTGACAGCAGGAGAGTGGCTCTTCATTCAGTAATGTAAGCTGGATCAACAGAGTAGCCCTAAACACTGTGACAGTGCCAGGCACAGGAGTGTTCAATAATTTGTTGTACAGTATTAGTATTATCAACATATTGGGCTACCGCTGTCTTCATCTTACTAGTTCATTTATCTGTCTCTTCCTGGAGGCTACCATGTGTTAGAATGGATGCCGCCATCAGCCTGACTGTGGAGTAGCTGTCGGTCCAGGAAACTATTGTTTAGTTATTTACGATCCTTAACTGAGGGGTTGATGAAATGGAATTAGAGAATACCTGATGACCCCAGAAAATCCAGTCTAATGAGGTGACATCTGAACAGCATCTAAGAATGCACATTTTCTCAGAGCTACAAGCAGGGAAAGCAAAGGCAGCTAGAAGAGCATGGCTTCTGGGTACCTTCTCAAAGCTCATCAATTTATAATACACTTCAACGATTTGCAACAAAACTGCAGTCACTTCTCATGACTTGAGTGCATCCTCTTCTTCCACTGCCTTGCAAAATCTTCTCCCAATTTATCCTCTTTGTAGCTGAGACTTTGTGGGGTGGGGGTGGGGGTGGGGCAGAGAGACAGAGACAGAGGACAGAGCCACCCCCAGGGAGAAGATATACCTGGACACACCCAACTAGGTTCTCCTTATAAAGTTCCCATCATCTACCAATATCCCATTAAATTATGAACCCATCAACAGATAAATCCACCCATGAGGTCAGAGCCCTCATGATTCAATCACTCACCAAATGCCCCACCACTAGATACTGCTGCCCTAGGGACCGAGCCTTCAATGCATACACCTTTGGGGTCAATCCAGATGCAAACCAAAACAAAATGTTACTCTGAGAATGGGCCGCAGTCAGGTCAGCAGCTCTTTAATAAAATAAACAGATCCCCCGGTTATAACAAGAGCTCTTTATTACATGATTTTGAATACACAGCAGGCCAATTGTGATCCCTGAAATTAACAGTTACATTCCGTAAAAGCCTCTTAATGTTGTCCCTCGACACTCTGATCCTAAAGGGCTTCCTTCAAAGTCCCTTTACAAAAAAGCCTTGTGCAAAAGTTTAAGCACCAGTAAGACTGTTGCTAGCAGTATTTTTATTTTGTTATCATTAAACATGCAGTTTCTTCCTCCTATGTGCCTGGCCCTGTAAAATGGGTGCTATGCCCTGCCTTGTGGTACAAAGTTTATAAATACAATATACCAATACAAAGTTGAACCCAATAAAAAGAGCTTAGTAACAACTACCAGGAGATACTTAAATCTGGAGTGTTGATTGATCTGGAGAGATCTGGAAACAACTCACAAACATTACAGTAAAAGTTTTACTTGGGAAGGAGTGAGAGGAGAACTCTTCAAGTGCAACTGAAGGATTTTCTAAGGCGCACCAAGTTTACTTCCTCTCTGCTATTATCTTCAGATACTGCAGAGCATTGTGCGCTGCGTCACTCTGGGCGTTGCCGCAGGAGATTCCCGAGCCGTGGCAGACTGTGATGGGACTGGTCGACAGTTCAGCGAGACACTGATACTGCCCGCTGGCACTCAGTTCTTCTGTAACGACACATGCAAACGCGACGGTTAATGCCAAGTGTGCGTGAGGCAGGTTCTTTGTAAAACCACCATTTTCATTACCGACTTTCTCCTTCAACATCCAGGGTACTCTACTCCATTCATCTTTATCGTGCTTACACAAACAAAAAGCAAACAACTGCTCAGCTATCAGTTCCGACCCTGAATAGCCACTTGAGGGAACTGTAAAGACAGTGCAGGACTCACTCAGGTGGAAACCCAAGGGCTGGGACTGGAGGTGGTCCCTTCGTGCATTTCGTGCATTTGAAAGAAGCTTGCAGGCTACTCCAGTGTGACCAGGTGAACAGTGTTCCCAAACTGTTGAATTTCCTTAAAGGGAAAATCTGCCACTGGATCCACCAAGGAGTAGGCTTTTGAAATAGGAAATAACCTTGTGCAGGAAAAGACATGTTTGGCACCTGCAGGTTCTTAGGTTTTAAGTCTGCACAGAGAGTCTTGAGCAGTGGTGTTTTAAAGCCAATATAAATCCAGGAAACAAGTGTTCTTCTCATCTTGATGAGTCACTGCTAAGACTGAAATGACTCAAGGCAAAGAAGTAAAATTTAAGCATGAACTATGACTTTTTTTAAGTGGTCATGATTAAGTGTTATTATTTTAGCTCTTCAGGTTAGTAGAAAATATCCAGATAAAATGGGACTATTTAATGAGTGAACAGGCTTTATAGTTCTGGCATCTAGGGTTTTTTTTTGTCACTTGAAATAAAGTTCACATAATACACATTCGCAACGTACAACCACAGCCTCTGTCCAGTTCCAAAATATTCCATTACCCTGAGGAAGCTCCCTGTACCCATTAAGCAATTACTCTTTCCTCCCTCTTCTCTCATCCCTGCAATCACCAATCTGTCTTCTGTCTCAGTGGATGAGCCTTTTCTAGATAATTCTCATAAATGGAATCATAAAATTAGTAAGTCATCTTTTGAGTCTGGCTTCTTTCACTTCCCAAGTTTTACAGGATCCCCTACACTGTAGCAGTACTGTATATATTATAATTTTATTTTCTTTATGGCTGAATAATATTTCATTGTACATCTGTGTGTATATATATGTGTGTATGTGTGTGGTACTGAGGACTGAACCTAGTGTGTTTGCATTGAGCTATGTCTTCACCTCTTTAAAATTCTCAAGACAGGGTCTCACTAAGTCATTAAATTGCCCAGAGTAGGCTCAAACTTGTGATCCTCCTGCCTCAGCCTCCCGGAGTGCTGGGATTACAGGCATGTCGCCACCCCTAGCTACCACACTTTGTTTATCTACTCATTGTTGATGGAAATCTGCACTGTTTCCATCCTTTGGCACTTGTGAATAGTGCTATCACCATGGGCATACTGTTATTTGTAAAATATGTTTTCAATTCTTTTGGATATACACGGAGGAGTGAAACTACTAAGTCAAATGGCAATTAATTTGAGGAACTGAAAAGCCCTTTCCATGGCAACTCAACTATTTTACATCAAACCAGTAGAGTTTGAGGCTCTAGTTTCTCTCATCCTCACAGGTACTGTTTTCCGCTGTTCTGATTAGAGCCATCCTGGTGGGTACGAAGTGGCACCTCACTGATATTCTCTACCGAACGTCTTTTTATGTGCTTCTTTGAAGGCAGTTGCACAGAAGTTAGTCAAAAGCTAGTTCTCTATTTAGAAGACCTAGTTAGTTCTTAAAACTGCTAAGAAGTGTTTCAAAGGCATCATTAATTCATAATCTAAAAATTCATTTTAGGTTTTTTCTTTTCCCAGATCTTCCATAGTCCTATGCATGACACAGCTCATTCATCTCTGTATCTCAAACCTTCAACAAACCAGACACTGATAAATATTTACTGAACAAACAAATGGTCTCTCAGCAGCCCTCCTTCTTGACCATCTATCTACATTAACTTCCAAGATTCTTCATTCTGTTCATCAAGACATTGTATTCAACCTGTCATTCAATCCCAATGCGCAGCAGAAGAGTATCAGGAGTTCCTTCAGCCCCTAAACCAGTGGTGGCGAACCTCTGACACATGTGCTGCAGCAGGCTGTTTCTATCACTAAAGGCTCTAAAAGGTTCACCGTCACTGCCCAAAATTCTATTGTCCCAGTGCCAGTAACTCTGATAAAATAGATCTCCGTATCTGCGGAGGTTGGATAGAGACATGAAATTCTTCACACATTATACAGTGTTAAATAGAGACATCAAATATATCTGTGTGTGCACACACACATTTAAGCAACATCATAAAGGGAATTCAAGGAAAATCCACACTCACTTATTTTTCCCACCTGTCCATACGTATCTATATAAATGACTAGAGATTGGAGAAGTATAGAAAATAAAGGTTGGGATAAAGCTATGAATTTGCTTTCACCATTTACTGCCCCGCAACAAACTTGGTACTTGAAATGGCAGTGCCACTTTGTCAAGCTGCCCAACAGTTAAACAGCTAGTGTGCTGTGACTACAAATCCCGGCCTACCACTGACTAGCTCTGTGATCTTGGACCAGTTTCTCAACCTTTCTGTGTCTTACCTTCTTCATTTATAAATAAGGATAATAGGACTCACAGAGATAATCTGAGGGTTTAGTAAGTTAATACATGTAATGTTCTTAGTACAATGCACTCATGGTACATAGTAAAATTGTAATTTTTAGCTATTGTTGATTTTAGTATTAAAACTGTATGTTAGCAGTTAGCCACAAGAATGGGACATATCAGTTATATATATGACTGCTCTGGCAATATCTAGGCAGAATCCTTGATCGATGAAATGAATTAGAACAGAAAGTTTTGTTTCTCAAACACATTGTAAAAAAAAGAAATACATGGAGAGACAAGGCAAAGGGGAAAAAAAGTCATACCTATATCCAAATATGTTATGTTAAAACCTTGTTCCTTGGCAATTTCACTAAGCAGCTGGATGTAATCTGTATTTGGAATACTAAGGAGGCTTCTTTTCAGTAAGTTGATCTTTTCACCAGGAGAATTCCTCAAAGAATGCCAAGTGCATCCTAAAGAATGCCCTACCATATTTGTCTGGAAAAGAGAGGAAGGTTTAGACTCTTAAATAGGACTATGTCCAACACTGATACAGATATAACTAAAAATATTTAGTACGCACATTTACTACTTCATAATGTACATTTAAATGGGTATCATTTGGTTAGTTTCCCAATTTAAATGAGATAGTGCTAGCAAGTATATGCCTTTTAAAATACCATAAATTGAAAAACAATAAATATATTGTTAAATATTTTAAATACTTTTTACAAAAAACTTTAGAATTGGAAAATGTCAGACCCTTTGACACATTACTCCCTTTCTCATTTTCTTTTGCCCCAGTTGATGCACCCTTTTTACCAAGAGATATTTTGGAGACCTAGCATCAGGGGAAAAAAACCAAAAACCAAGTTTTTTGTACAGTAGAAAGATTTCTCTGTTGAATTTTTTGATGGTCACATTAAAAGATGTAACTATCTGATAGTACTGTAAACAAACGTGGAAATAACTGATTCTGCCTAGTATAGCAATTTATAAACATATGAAACAATTTTCCTAACTTTATATTTTTTGTATGAAATACCAATTATAACTGATAGCTGCAAAGCAGAAAATAAATAACAAAACTATAAAAAGGTGAAATGTATTAGTTGAGTTTGAAAAGAACACGTTGCTCAAATGAGTGGCAGGATGTCAAAAGTTTTTTTCTTTTTTTTTCCTCCTTTATTGCCCTCATGTCCTTTTCTCTTCATCTCTGGTCTTAGAATGCTTTAATTTTTCATATTAGTTACTGGTTTCAAATTGCTTTCATACATCGTTAATAAATCCAACTACTTTCTGAAGTAGGGTAACTACCTTTAGTATTATTAGCGAGCATCACAGAAGTGAAAGGATTTTCAAAAGAGCACAAGGATGATTATGATACAGAATTAAGTAACTAAATGAAAATTTATATTCCTTGATTAGAATTTTAAGAAGTATTGTTTTCAGGGGCCAGGGGTGTAGTTCAGTGGTAGATCATATGCTTTAGCACATGCGAGGTCCTGGGTTCAATCCCCCAACACCAAAAGAACAGAAAACAAAAGAAAAAAATACAACTCCCCCAAATCGTCATTTATTCACATGGTAAAAACTGACATGTAATATGAACAAATATTTAATGAAGAGTAAAATCTCTTCTTTACCACCCATTTACTGAAGATCTCTGTTCTACTCCTCCAAGGTACTTGCTCTTGACATTTCTTTCCATAGGTGTTCTATGCATACGTAAGCACACATACATACACGAGCTTTTACGACAAAAGTCAAAGTTTACCCTTCTACAGCATGTTCATTTTCTTCCTATGAGCGCACATTTGTTTTACCAGTCTCCAAAGATGGGTGCTAGGTTATTTCTGGCTTGTTGCTTTTACTAACAATGCTGCAATAAACAGTCTCTTGCACTTGGATGAGCTCCTCTAGAATTATCTCTACCAGAAGTGCCCAGTCAAAGAACATGAATGCTTTTAATTTTGATAAATACTTCCAAAGTGAGTTCTGACCCAATTTATACTCCCATCAACTGTCTTGGAGTATTTATTTCTTATATTCTCATCAATTGAGGTAATCAAACTTTGTAGTTTTCACCAGTGTAAAAAGTAATCTTGCACCATTGAAAATGAACATAACACTCTTGTTCTTTCTTTAATTATATGCACAGTATCTCTTTTAGTATGCGGTCTGTAGAAGAGCACTGAAAGCAGTTCCTGGATAGTCATTGTTGGAAGATAATTTCTTCCCATACTTTTATTATCCTCTTGATTTTATTTAGAAACATTTGGTTTTACTTGGTCAAATTTATGAATCTTTTACTTTAAGCTAGCTTTTAAGTTATATTTTAAAAAGCTTTCTTCATTCATGCTAAGATTTTAAAAAATGAAAGACCTTCATGTTTTCCAACACTTGTACAGGCATAATTCTTATGTTTAAATTTGTAATCTACCTGAAATTTATTTTGGTGTAAGAACTAAGCCAGTAACCCAAGTATGTGTCATATGTACATATAAGTACAGTGATGTCTAGAATTTCTTTCTTTTTTTTTTTGTACCAGGGATTGAACTCAGGACCTTGTGCTTGTGAGGCAGGTGCGGTGTCACTGAGCTAAATCCCTGGGCCAATTTTCTACTCTATTTTTTGTATCAGAATTTGTCTTAATGATTATGGTTTTATGATATACTTTATTCTCTAACCCATATTTTTCTTTTTCAGCATTCTTGGCTATTCTCAAGTGTTTACTTCTCCAGAGAAACTCAGTAAAGTTATATCAAGGTACAAAATAAATTCTGAAAAATTCTGTGAGACTATTACATTTTTATATATTGGTAATACTGAGCCTCCTTATCAAAAATATAGTGTCATATTTATTGTGTATGTTATAGCCCTCAAGAGAAGTTTTCCTCACATGGGTCTTTGCATATTTAAGTTTATTCCCAGACATATAATCCCCTTTCTCTATTATTGAAAATGGGAACTTTTATATTCCAGCTCTTACTGCAGTATTTATGCATAAGAAAACTACTAATTTTTTTCCAGTATACTTTTTTCAGGATAAACTTTCTATAAAGTAGTCAGGACTTTGCTAATCAAAGTGACCCCTACATACATCAAAAAATAAAAAACTACAAATATATGAAAGCAACAGTCTCCAGCCTCACCCTTCCCACCTTTAGTCCCCCTCCCAGAAGCAATTTCTAACTTCCTATTTTTAATTATTTGGTTGTTATCTTCATAACTCTAAATATATGACAAAGCTATTGATGTTGTATATTAATTTCATGATCAGTTACCTTGATGAATTCTCTTACTGTTTCTAGTAATTTTCTCTAGGGTTTTAGAAGGATACAATTGTATTATTTGCAGTTAATAATCATTTATAACTCCTCTTTTCTGATTTCCAAATTCTTATCGTTTTCTCTTGTCTAATATTGGTTGGTACTTCTAGAACAAGGTCAAACAAAAATAGTATTAGTGGGCATCTTCAGTCTTTTTTTCTGGTACCAATAAAAATGAGTGTAACGCTTAAACATGTAACCATGACTTTGATTTCTTTGAAAAACATTTTTTACCAGTAATAATTGGTGAGTTTTAGCAAATATCTTTTTGGCATCCGCTGAGAGGATTACATGTTTCTTCTCCTTTGACTCACTGAAGTGGTTAATTATAGTAACAAGCTGACAAACAAATCCTTATACCCTTATACGTATGAAACAAATCCTTGTCTATGGTATATTATGCTTTTAATGCTCCACTGAGCACTTTACAAAGGTGTTCCGCCTTAAGGGAAATTGACTCATATTTTTTTTTTCCTGTTGGGGTTTGCTACAGTCAGGTTCCAGGGTGTTACACTGGTTTGGAAGAATAAATTCAGAGGCCTCCCTTAAAAAATAAATAAATATGGCCTGAAAGAGTTTAAACAGCACTGGAAATTATCTTTTCCTTAAGATTTGACAGAGATCACCTGTAAACCTATTTGTGCTTTGTGATTTTGGTGTTCTCTCTGTCCAATTATTTTTAAGAAGTACTGTGTTCAGCACCTTCACAAACCTTGGCACAAAGTATGAGCTCACTCAATGACTGGAGTGGATAAATGAATGAATGAAAAAAAAAAAGAAATGTGCTGTCATTTTGAGGGTAAAAAAATGGCATTAATAGCCTACTATTTTCACTTATTTTATTCAGGTGCTTGGGATTGAACCCAGGACCTCATACATGCTAAGCGCCTACTCTACCACTGAGATATGCCCCCAACTAAGTTATCATTTTTAGATCTCATTCTATTACTTGAATGTACTGTTTCCCAAGCCCTCTTACTTGATCACCCCTATGACGCTGGCTCACATATAGGAAGAAGCTAAAACTGGGACAGTGTATAAATGAACAATGAAGAGATTTTTAAAAACTGCAACTCATAAGTAGCTATACAACAAGAAATCAAGGAAAGTTTCCTACAGCATCACATTAACATCATAACTGTCTGGTCATTACTCACTAGAGAAATATGGTTCTCTGGAGAAATTTTACTAAATTTGGCAAGAAATTTCTCAGCAGCATTTCTCTTGGCTTGTTTTTTTGATGCCCCCTTTCCTATACAAAGAAAAAGAAATGGTAGATTTAAAAAATTAGTGTCTACAGAGGTGATCAAATGTGTAAGGCATTGTGTAAAAATGTCTTGCCTTTTATTTCTAGTCTATATTCTTACCAACCTGCTATTTTTGTGTGCTGTACTTCATATACACACATTCAGATACATTTATTTGAGGGGCTGGGGACTGTACTCAAGGTATCACACACTTCCACTGAGTGACATCTGCAGCCCTCGACTATGACTTCTTACGTATTTTTAAAGCACTTCTTTTCTTTCTTTTCTTTTTTCTTTCTTTCTTTTTTCTTTTTTCTTTTTTTGGTACCAGGGATCAAACTCAGGACCTTGCCTTGTGAGGCAGGCACAGTGCCACTCAGCTAAATCCCCAGCCCAAGGCATTTCTTTTTAAAAATAATTTTACTTTAATAGCTATAGAGTTATACTTCCTTATCCCTAGCCTTAGGGAACCATACTTGGGTTTAATTCTGACCAATTTTTCAGATTTATTAAAATACATTTGAATTAAAAGCCCTATCTCTAAATGTCCACTTCTCACATACAATCTTCCATAAACTGACAATTATGTGGAATTTCTTTTTTTGACAACATGGGGATGGGAGATGCTACAAGTGAAACACAGCACAAATATCTACTTCTGTACTTTTGTTTTGTAGATTTAAAAAACTGAGGTACACACAAAGACTAAGTAATGTGCTTAACCTCTGAAGTCAAGGACTATTGTAAGAACAGAGGCTGGGGAGCCTGCTGCAGGCTCAGGAGCTTCTGTTCTGACCCACAGGACTTCTAAGGAAAAAGTTACCTAGTACTCAAAAGTACTATCTTGTTAAGGTAAAATCCCACTTTAAGGGATGTTAAAAATGACAAAAAACATGCCAGAGAAGTTAACGTAGGAATTCTCATTTGTACTTTAAGTGACCACTTTTCCTCTTATAACATGGGAATTATAATTCAGAGACAATTTCTACTTTGTTCTTATTGCAATTCTTTGCCATATAGTCTCTTATTAATCACTTCATTTTCAAATGGAGTCCTCCTTAACTCCTATTTACTAGACTATCCATTGAAACTCCAAGGGATTTACTACTGCTTTTTCTCCAAATGAGTTGTATTTTAAAAGTCACTTATATAGCAGTAAGACTGTTTAAGGTACAAAACCATAATTTGACTTATACTAAGAGCCTATAATTTTTAGAAACATAATTAAGAAATAAAAGTATTATTAAGCCAAATATTTATACTTAAGTTCAACCTTACAAAGTTAAGAGATCACAGAAAAGGAGTGTATGAATTTTCCCACAGAAATGTTTGAAAAGATATTACAAGTCACTTCTACCATCATTTGTCATCTGAAAATAATACAACTGTTTTTAATTGTAAGAAGTAAGTACCAGTTTCCATAAATGACTCTAGCCTGCAAATGGTGGTATATTCTCTCTTATGAGCAGGTCCTCCCTCCTGGGAAAGGGTATATTCAGGAAGTCTCCAGCCATGATGGATAGCTAGTTCCTATAAAATTGAGAGGAGGCTTTAATAGTGACTTTAACAATGTTATAGCTCAATCACATAAATGACATTCATTCTTCATTTTGATTCCATTTTTTAGTTGTATGTTTGAGAATAATGGGATTCTGCAATAGAAAATGAGGGTAGATTCTGCATTTCCCATAGATATTCTCATATTTTATATCTTTATATCACAACACCAAAACTGAAGCAGTTCTGTGCTGTGAATAATGTCCTATTAAACTGGGGTGAACTGGTGTCTGAGTTCAATGAGGAAGGCCACTGCCAGCCTCTTCCACATACCAGAGACAACGCCCTCAGTTCCTAAAGTCTCTGTCCCCCTAGATAAGGACTTTCAGACTCACAGATAGCCAGCTGCTACATTTGATCAAAGGCACACGGGAAGCAGAAACAGCAAACAGTACACTTGGAAGGGATTATACACACAAGGTGAAGAAAACTATAGAAAAGAGACCAAAGGATTGGCTGGATAATGGGGAGGGGAGTGGTCCAACAGAACACGTGGATAATCTCCAAGAAAGATACTGTGCATACAGATATTCAAAGCTGAATATATGTATGTCTGTGTGTATGTATGTATGCATGCATATGTGTCTATGCTTTTTTTTCTAGTACAAATAAACTACTTCTCTATTCTTGAAGTTAGGTTACGTGATTTTGCCTCTTTGAAAAAATCTTCTGTTTCAACAGAAGTAGAAAGAGTTTTGTCAGACAAGTAGCAAGAAACATTCTTCAGATATAAAACACTACCCATGTGCAATGAGGTCCTGCTGATTTCAAGTGGGAATTCCACAAACCAAAGGCAGATACTGAATATGGAAGAAAATCCAAAAGATAAATAAATAGAAAATAATTTAGTTCTGTAAATTCTAATGATCCTTAATTTGGAAAACAAAGTATTTCACCTTATCTTTAAAATATTAATGGCTTGTCTTAGTCGCTATATTATTTTTGATTTATCTCTTTTTAACATGAGAAAATGTTAAGTATGGCAAAACTGTATAACTTACCTGTAATGAACCAATAGGGTTAAGCTGGTTCTTCGGTTGCTTGGAAGGATCAGGCATTAAAGGGTCGGGAACTGCAAAGCTAAACATTTTTAAACATGTCATTAAATAAAATAATTTCCCCAAAATACTAAAAAATGACAGGCATTTTCTACTTAATCATTTATACTAAACTCTTGCCATTGTTTCGACAAGTGATGGCCTGTCTTACTGCACTCAGACAGCAGCTCACACTAGCCAGTGTGTCCAGAAGCAACCAAAGCACATCACTTAATGATGTGTGTGACGTTCTAAAAGCACCTGACCTGATATAAAACTGAAAAGAAGGCAAGAATATCCTACTTAATATTCTCAGGTTTGGTATACATTCTATAATAAAAGAAAATCTCTGTCTCATTCTTTCAAATAAGAATTCCTAAACAAATATTTTTAGCTGATCTCTTTCCATCTCATGCTTTGTCTTATTCATTGTAGAAATAATCAAAGTCTAATACAGAATATTAACATTTGCCAGAAACACTCCAGTTTTCTGCCCACTGCACCCCATTCAAAAGGGAGAAAAAAAGTAAAGCCTCCTTCATGATCGCCTGCATGTAACAGCTATCGGATGAATTTAAATGGATAAAACTGTCTTTAACAGAAGACGGGTTTGCATATAGAAACACAGTTTCGAGCCAAGACACTAACAACTGGGGCCAGGGATTTAGCTCAGTGGTGCTGTTGCTTGCAAGGTCCGGAGTTTGATTCTGGTACCAAAAAAACCCAACTTTACTCAAGATACTAACAACTGTTCACTTTTAATTTTTAATCTTACCTCAGCCATGACAATTTTGAGCTGCAGAATACAAAGAAATTTAGCTCACCAAATACTTGCATTGGCTTTCAAAATGTTTATGGCAGCCTCTGCAGCTCTATGTTTCGCCAGCTTCTTACTTGTACCTTCACCTACATTAAGGTTTAAAAAAAAGTCTTTACTGCCTGTGAAAATGTGTGGCGTAGATGCTGTCATACAAAATAAAGTCACTAAAGGTTTTACATACACATTTGGTAATACAAACAAACACTACATGCAGTTACACAGTACACTGTAATAAAACATTCACCAAGTGAAGTTAACACATCAACAAAATCAGTTTTTAAAATTCTCTATTTCCAGTCTATGTATACCTGCATAAAAATCCTTACTACAGTATTTGTATATTTTGCTGTATATGTTTACGATGCAAAGTGGTAATAGCATAGCCCACATCACATTTCCTGAAGAAATGTACCTTAGCATTTTATTCTTCCCTTATTCTAGGACAAGAAAGAAGAAACTCTTCTACAGCAAGACGTTTCCTTTAAAGAAGCCACTTACAGCAGAACTGTTGGACAGAAAATTTTGCAAAATTTTATTCTGACAGCCGGGTTCTATTCTGGATCAAACTCTATGCTGGGGTAAGCAGTTATGACTACATGTTGAGTAGAGTGGGAGAGTTTATATATGGGCAGCAACAGCTTATATGTTTTCTATACAATTCATATATCTTACCCTGTTAGACAAGAGGAGGCTGGGGAAAAGACTAAATTTCAGTAAATTTGGTCTAAATTTTAGTAAATAGTCACATCTGGTAAGTGGTAAATTCAATCCTTTTTCTTACTGAGTTCAAACCCTCAAACTCAGAGTAAGTTTCAAGTGTGACCCTCAAGTGTCAGTGGACATACAAGCCATACTCTTTAATCTACTGACACAGATATTAAAGGTATAGTATCCAACTAGGCACTCAAGGTCTGACAGCCTACTGTGGGATTTTATGTGGAACAAGTATCTGAAATATGGAGGGGTACATGTTACAACAAGCCTGTAAAGTCTGCCCCAAAGCAGCAGCTCTCTTAACTCCTGGTAGATTCGGAAAGGGTCTATGAAGGAAGAGATAAGCAAATGGACACCTGAAAGATGAGTAAAAGCTAATAAAGTGGAGAGAGCTGAGGATTAGGAATAGCCTTGTATGTAGAGGAAAAGCACCTGCAAAGGCTCAAAGATCACCTAGATTAGTGTTCTTAAGGCCTCAAGTAATGAGTATGGCTAAGTTGTAAGAGCTTGGGGAAAGACTGGAGAGCTGGGGACTAGGGGAAGAGGCCAAAGAAGGGTCTCACGAACCTGTGCTTTTCAAACCTTAGTGTACATAGGACTTGTCAGGGAGCACTGTTGAAACATACTCTAATCCCATAAATCTGAGATGGGCCTGACAGTCTGCATTTCGATCAAGGGCCCAAGTGGTATCCTTGTTGTCACTAAGTACATTTTAAGAAGCACAACTGTAAGCCATATTTAAAATTCTGTATTTTTCCAGAGGGTGATGGGGAAACCACTAAGCACATTTTAAGAAGAGGAAAACATATTTAAATGGTAGAAAAGATTCCCTCGATAGTCCAGGGCTGATCTGGGACTCAATATGTAGTTTAGGACAGCCTTGAATTCATTATTCTCCTAAGTCTCCCCAATGCTGGGGTTTTAAGCATGGGACACCATGCCCAGCTTTGGAAGGAAAATAAAAATAGTATCTTATACAAAGTATCTTTAGAGTTTCACAAACTAAAAGCTACTGTGCAGTATAGTGTATGGGTGCCTGCTGCCTTTTTTCATTTTTCAAGGACACAAAATCAAGAATGGCACAATGGACCTAAAGTTTCAAATGTGTGCATAAAGGGAAGAAACTCAGGAAATTCTGTTATCATTCCTCCCGGTATCTGCTGTAACCTGAATAAACCATGAAACTTGACAGAACCTACTGATGGTTCCCAGAACCTCTCCTGTTCTTCCCTAATTCTTAGAGGAAACTTAGGAGGATCCTAAGGTATGAGAAACTTTCCAGGATTACTGGGTAACTTTTTGGTTTCTGAGCGTCAATGTATCTGGGGAAAGGGAAAATTAGGGAGGGAAGTGGATGAAGTTACAAAGCCCTAATGACATGCATGATGAGAGGTTTTGGTTTCAGAGCCTTTTCCTCCTAGTTGGCAAAAGAGGTACTTTTCCGAACTGAAAATTAACACCACGTCTGGACAGCCAACCCGTGGGGTCATAGGGGTTAACCGTGCATACAGACCTGTGCAGGTTATGTCACCAACGGTTACTCTGAAGGTGAAAGTGGGCACATGTATTTGCACGTCAGATCTTTCACATTCATAAACCGGGATGTTCTTGGTCTTCATGCCGTATTCGTGTAATACCTGAATCGGTGTTTTCCCTGGCTTAGCTGTTACCATCTTCCCCAAACTGCAAAAGCCAGAAAAAGGTGGACTTTGCATATCAAAGCAGAGAGGGACGCAGAGGCGTACACTGGCCAGCTTGACAGCCACCGATGGTGACCGGAGAGGCGCCCTGGCTCCCCGGTGGCCAGCGCCACAGCTGTGAAGGCCTGGGCGCCCCTGTCTCCCTGCGGCAGTGCTCTGGCAGGGTTGAGCACGACAGCTTTAGAGGGAACTAGAACGCGGGATTCTCCCGGGAGCAGGGCAAGCCACAGCGCCACAAGCCCAGGGCCAAGCCCAGGACCCCGTCCCAGCCGAGGAGCGCCCGCGCCTCCCC